GATTGGGTTGGAACAGAGGCCGGCAATTTTTTTAGACCAGAGTATCTGCAAGCACTAAAAACCAGAAAACATGGTAAACAGAGATGCAAGATCAAAATGCCCATTTTTTAAGCAGAAAAATGTGACTTTATATTAATGATATTGATGTGGTGATTAATAAAGAAATACATTAAATATGGACCCTATCAACTCTTTCCAATGAAATTGAATTGGCAGGCCTTCTGCTACCTGCCATTTTTAAGTTTTCATTTTTAAAAATTCCCTACGTTGCCTGTCAGAGCCTAGCGTCCTGGGGGCAGTGTTCCTGGGGAGAGCCCACACCCAGAGGCCCTCACCTGCCCACGATAAGGGTGGCAGAGGACTGACACATGCTCAGTAGTGGTGGCCATCGGCGGGGGTGGCCAGGAACGTGGGTGGGGAGGAGCAACGGCGGGCTCCGGGCTCTGACGGCGCTAGCCCCGTCTCGGGGAGCTCCCTTATCCCGGAGGCAGCGGATTCTGCGCTTTCCTCCCACCGCCTTCCAGCGCCCTCCCCTCCCGGTCAGCCTGTGACGCCAGGCCTTCTCTCTCTGTCAGTTTCCCCCTCAATCTTCAATCCGTTTTCAAAGAAAGAGGCAGACTCTTCCGGTTCGGCCCTGACGAGGCCAGGGGTACTGCCGGATCCTGGCGCATGTTCAGCCCACGGGACCACGACCCCTCCAGCTGGTCTCCTCTGTGAGTCGGCCTCGTTCTTGAGGTACTAAGATGGAAACGTGGCAGCAGAGATGCCAGTCCATGAGCTTTTGGATTCAAATCCGTTAGGGAAGATAGGGATTCTTTCTCGGCCTTCAAACTGAATTCACTTTGCTCTCTGATTGGCCTGCTTTTGTCATGTGACCATTCCAGAACCAACCGTGATTGCCAGGGGAATGTGATGCTCTGATTGGCTAATGCTGGAGCAAAGGGCGGAATCATCTTCAACTAAGCCACATGGGATGAGACAGAAATTGGGGTTATTGCTGGAAGGGGGTAGGATGAAGGCTGAAGACGCAAGCCCAATGTCCTCCATACCATCCAGCTCCTCCTGCCCCCCAGATCCCCCTAACTACCCCTTTAAATTAAGATCTGGCCCCTAGGACTGAACCCTGGCCTTGCCCACTTGGCTGGTGCCCTTGGGGCCTGCCTTAATCTCCTTGAGGAAGAATCTGCCTTCTTCTTGAGGTGACGTTTTTACTGAAAAAATTAATCCTGGATATTAATGAGAAGCCAAAAGCTTTTCATTATATATTCCATACTGACATAATCTACCTTTTTGGGTCTGGCTCCTGAGGATGGAAGATATGGAGGTTTCATGATTATGGTCAGAAGAACCCACGAAGACACATTGCAGGTCCCAGCCTTCCTTCCTTCCTTCCTAAAGATCTCAGTAGGGATACTCCTGGAACCTGGAACTTTGTTATTCTTCATTGAATTCAAGGTCTGGGCTAAGGCCATGGGTCATGCTTCAGCAGACTGTAGGCTTCATATGATTTCACTTTCCATAGTGGAAGGCTTCTTAGACTGGATTCCACAGGAGCTGATGGGGGAAATCCTCTGCCTGCCAGAAGGGTGTAAGAAATGCTTCTACGGAATGTAGATCTAAATGTAGGTGTAATCTAAATGTAGATGCCATGGAAATGTATCATTCCTTAGGCAGTGAGCCCTGCTGAGTAGAGACTGTGGTGTCTCCACAACTATTACAGTGTGCAGGATTGCCTATAAATCACATATTCTGGAGCACATTTGTGACCTGAGCACAGCCAGCCTACCCCTTCCAGTTCTCTCTGTTCTTAGCGGATCATCAGTGATGCCATGTATTTTATGGCTTAATTTTCATGCCCTCTTCGTCTGGGTCTCGCAAACCCATTGAACTGTTGCAAAACATAGATCATACATCACTTGCTTTGTTATGCCTTCTTATTAAAAAATGTTTTAATTTTGTTTTTGTACAATAGCAACACATGCTCATTATGGAGTCTGGAAAAACCCAGTGAAGAAAAAACCCAAGTAATTCTAAAATTTTTGTGTAATCTTTCATTTTGCCATGAATATGTGTATGTATTTTTCCAAAAGAGGATCATTCTATATATGAATTTACCTTTCTTTCTTTACTTAACAATGTAAACATTTTTGGTGTCATTCTACATATGTATTTACCTTTCTTTTTAACTGAATGATGTAAACATTTTTTCATGACCACATGGGGTTCAACTTCATTATGGTTCCATTTTTCTCTCTAACAAATAGTGTAATGAGAACACTTGGAGATAAATCTTTGTGAGCATATATGGGTATTATCTTGGGGCAAGTTCTCAGAAGTAAAATTGCTGGATCATAAACTATGGATATTTTTAAGGCTTCTTGGGAGCTATTGCCACCAAAGTATTTTTTGCTGCCAATAGTGATTTCTTAATTCTTGGTCCTGATGCCAGAACTGGCAGCTCTGCTGAACAGAGATGAGAGGGCTTCTGGATGCCCAGTGGGGGGCGTGTCACCAGGACCCGACCTCTGCAGATGAGCCTTCCTGATACAGTGGCTTTTGTTCCTCGCAGATGAACTGGTCTCTACGGGTGCGACGGTCCCCGTGGCTTCTTGTGCAAATGCCTCTTTTAAAATTGTTGAATGCAGTCTCCAACTTGAGATCATGGTAATTCAAGAAGGCAGTGCTGTGCCCTCTGTTGCTACTCAGCTTACATCCTTGTGGATTTCCCACTGAACAAATCTCGATTTCTTCCTGAGGAGCACCTGTGGGTAGGGGCTCCCTTACCTGAGAGTTAGACCTTCTCTCTGGAGGCCAAGTTTAGTGAGGGCTTTGCCATTTGGAACTATCCAACCCCAGGGATTATTTTGCCTAGACAACGGCCTGATCTCCAGGAATGGCTGGTGGGGACTTTCTTGGGATGTGAACCAAGGTGTTTTCAGCAAGGCAGTTTTTTAAAACTGTGGGCTGACTGCCCTTTGTGGCCCTTACAGACGCCAGCAACAACTGGCCAGAGTAGGAGATGCTCGTTGGACCGTCCCTGGGCTGGCTACACCCAAGTCACAGCTCTCTGGCCAATGGGAAGTGAGAGCTGTTCTTGCTCTCAGGGCCCTAATTGGCTGATGGTACAATTCCATGCCTACTATTTTAAGGCTGTGTTTTGTAGCGCAAGCTTGGCAGGCTTGCCTGAGACATCTGGCAACAATGATCAGAATGCCTCTTTTTTCAAGAAAGCTCACAATCGATTCATCTATGGACTCACAAGGAAAGGCTCATTTAGTAGAGCCAACATGTTCCAAAGAAAAGTATATTTTCATTAACTAGCCTCAAAGCAGTAATTATATGTTCAGAGAACACAGCAAAATTTATTTCTAAATATTTGGCAGTGAAAAGTTGAAGGCACTGCGTGCACACACGTATGTGTGCATATTGTGTGTGTGTGTGTGTGTGTGTGTGTGTGTGTGTGTGTCCAACATGTTGCATGTGTTTTAAATCTAGCATCTTCCTCTCGGAAAGGAAGCAGGAAACACAATAGTAGACTTTGAAATTTAATTTTTAGCAACAGGATGTGTTTCTAAATATTGCTAATATATCAAAAGGAAAATGTGTAGTTAAAGGCTTTAAAATTGTCATCAAAGCAATTGCGAAGCAAATGAGGTGCCTTTTTTTTTTTTAAGGATGGTGGTGTCTGAATGCTGAAAACCAAATTTCAACCAAGGATCAAAAGCAGCAGTGGTGTCTTTGCGTGAGATGCAAGCTGAACTTCCATGCTCCCCCGATCTGATTCACAGTTTATAATCACAGTTATCACAAAACCATTAAAAACCTATTAACTTGAATTCCCACAATTCCTTGAGGGCAAGGGCAAAGAGAGAGCAAAATAACTTTGAATGTAAATGCAACAAAACGTTCGAAAGGAGAGAATCTCTTTTAATTATGCCAGAGAAGGAAGATGTCTTATGGACGCATCCACCCTAACAGATGGCTGATGAAAGAATGCAACATGAAGTCTTCGGAGGCAGGGGATGTTATGAAAATGATTTCTCTGCAAAGAGACTGGTAAAGCATCTGCCCGTTCCAGACCCCTTTCTGGGAGGAGGGAGAGTAGATGACTTGTTACAGTGGGTTAACTGCTGGGTGGGTTGGCTGGGCAAACACTGTACGGTGGCAGATCGAATCAACTTGAAAAGAATCCCCAGCCCCATTCGGTGGAAGGAAAAGCCCATCAAATATCCAAGCCATTGTCGTGTGAGAAATTTGATTTCATGTTTTTCCACACTTCACTGACATTTCCCCTAACAATGCGGTTATGATGTACGGTAAGACACGGCGGTCAATAAGCTGTCCTGAGACTTCAGATAAAATGGAGAGTTCTTATCTCACTGCCGAACAATTAGAGGCATCATACTGCAGTGAGCTGTGTGCCTATCAATGATGGAGTCTGGTCCCGAATCTCTGTGCCCATCAGGGTGAGGGGGCACACCTGCGCATAGGGACGCTTGCTCCAAGCGGCCCACATGGCATGCCCCTGGTGGGCTGGACTCGTTCCTCACTGCCCCTTGTAAAGGAACATTGGAATCAGCCGAAGAGGAAAGCGCCATCTCTCTGCTGTCCCCTGCACTGATTCTGAAATAACTAATTCCAATCAATCCACCCTTAACCTCAAATGAGTTCTTCCTGCATGAATTACCCACATTCACTGCCCAGCTTGATCTTGTTTCTGCAATGGATAAAGCAAATGGCTCAGTCCAGAGGGAGTGGGTTATTGACTCAGTGCTTAATTAGGCACGCAGCCCTGATGTGGTCATTCTCCTACAGTCAAGACGACCGGACCGTGCACGGCAGAACCGTGAATTTGGTTTACTCTCATTTGCCTGAGCCACAGTTGAATCAATGGGGCAGCAATCTAAATTAAACATTAACACAACCTCACTGCAGCATGTTTATGTAACTGTGCAAAGAAACAGCATGTATCTCAGGGCCCTCCAGGGGAAAACATTATCCACTTCCCTACCTCTGTGTCAGGCACCATGAAGGCTGGCTTAGTACCGTCTAGAAAGATTTTGAGCACCTGAGGGAAAACCTTCTAGGTAAATATATCATAAACTCTTTCAGCTCCTATTTGGCTTCCAAATCTTCAGAAGTCTGGTTAGGACAGGGGCACTGTGCTCATCTGCAGGTGCAAGGTCAAATGTGCTCACAGGGCACCCTGAATCCACCATCCGTTCACCCTAAGACTGAGCAAGTATTGAACGCTGTCATGGCTGTGGTGGGTCTCAACTGGGTCCTGATTCTCTATGGCGGCACTTCCCCAACTTTCACATGCACACGAATAACCTGGCAGTCTTGTTAAAGTGCAGATTCTGATTCAGTAGGTCTGGGGGAGTGCCTGAGACCCTGCATCTCTAATAAACTCCCCAGTGATGCCAGGCTGCTGATCTAAGGACCACACTTGGAGCAGCAGGGCTAGTGGGAGGGATCCCTACCTTACAGGCAACTCAAACATTGGAGGGAAGGAGGGAAAAAAGACAGCCGGTGTTTTGGTAAAAAGGGAAGTTGGAAGCCAGAGGGGGGAATGGAAGCCCACAGGGGGCGGGCCAGTCCTCCCTCAGGTGAAGGGTTTCAGTGCCGTGTCCTGTCTAGTTCCTGAATGAGGGTATCGTTTACTGAGCTAGTGAGCAGGTGATATGTGAGCAGCAGGCAACATGGCAGGACTGTGGGTATTCCTATTTGCCTTTTAAGTCACACCCCTATTCCAGAAATGCCCTGGGATGTGAAGAAAGAGCAAGACCAAGAAAGGACAAGCTGGCGGCCATCCACAGGATTAACTGAGTCGATAAACCTCGGACCCCGGTGGAGCTGGAGAAAGTGGGGCCTAAAGCCAGAAGTCAGTCCAGTTCTGCCTTTTATGACTTTGTCTTATTATTATCTTTGTAACAAGGATCTTTTATTAGCTTGCAATTTCCTGCCAAGTTGATGAAATCTCCATTATGTTTTATGGTACAAACTAAGAGGATAAAGGAGATTTTAAAAGGCCTATGGATCTCTTCATCATTTAGGGGCCCTGCCTCCTTCTGCTGCTCTCCCCGTGTGGGGTAGACATGAACTTTCCATCACGTTCCAAGACACTGCTCATTTTCTCCCCAGCTGAAAAATATATATTTATTTTGCCATTTTGCTTTACGGCTCTGGAGGGTGGCGTTTTCCATTTTAGTACTCTCCGTCTTGAACCACACTTACAATTACCGCTGTCTTTTATTCTGTGTTTCCAGAGGATGATCCCATTCAAACTGCGAGAGGACAAAAGCAGCTGTCTTTCCAGGGGCTGAAAACAAAAGCATCAAACCTCCATGTAAACCTCAACAAACCGGGAGCACGCAGGGGAAAGAGGCATAAGAATCCCAGCAAGTGAAGAAGCGGGCATTGCACTAAATATTTCCACCTCTGTGTGAGCATCTGGAGAAAGAGTAAAGTCAGCATGCCTGCTGCATTTTAGGGCATGTCTTATTTTAAGGTGCTTTTCTTTAAAAAGCCAGAGCTCTCAGTGGGCTTTTTGGTGTTGCTTGTTCCCTGTGTCTCTGCCTCCTGTTGACATTGGCCAGCTGGTCAAGGTCACAGAGGGCAGGTGCCTGTCCATAGTCCTCCGCCTGCCAGGAGGCCCTGAGTGGCCCGCCTTCTGCCCTCCCTGTGCTCCAACCAGTGCTGTCCTTTGGTGTGAAAGCCACCCTGGCCTTGAGTGACTCAAGCTCCACCCAACATCAGGGCCTCGGCAGGCTCTCCACCTGCTTGATGTGTGCTGCCCTCTTCCCACCTGCCTGGTGTGTGCTGCCCTCTTCCCTTGGCGCACTGCTGGCACCCTGTACATCTCACAGTTCTAACCACTTGTTTGTGTGGTAATGTCTATTCCCCACATGACAGAGCTTCCTGAAGACTGTGGCCATATTTACTATGTCCATCGCTGCGTCCAGTGATTGGCTGGATCACAGCATTTCTTTGAGGGACCAATGCTGCCAGTTATCAATGAACCGATAGCTTCAGGAGGAATGATTTGAAATGTTCATAGGCATTAATGTTTCAGCAAGGTTATAGAAAATTCAATCATTACAATGACAATGTCACATGTAAGTTGAATTTGGGGTGTCATGCATTTTGGCCCAGCCGAGGGTTTTTATAAATGTTACAGTGACTCTCTGCCTTTCAGTGAATGAACTTCCGAGTTGGTCATCTTTCTTGTCTTTCAAATGGTCTTACTTGTTTTGACTCAGGAATTGTCTCCTTGTGTGGAAGAGAGAGGGAGACGCAGTTCATTTATAGTTTGCAACATAACACAAAAAATGTACTTCCCATTTACTGACGCCAGAGCACTTTTCAAGATGTCATGCAAATGTGTGTGCATCCATGACAACTTCCCTTAGTACCATGTGAATCATGAATCATTATAAATGGAGCAATTGAGTCACCTTGATTCGGTTGCTGTTTGGGGAAAGAAACAAGAGAGTTTACCTCTCAGGGTGAAAGGAAATGTGTTTTATAATTCAGATGCCTGAGAATTTTTCAGATGGTCAGCATTTCACATGCAGATGGATTGGCTTTTTCCACAGGCAAATTACATTGACCAGGACTTGTGGATATCAATGTGGAGACGAAACTTTCATTTGATGGAATGACAAACTGAAGCTTGCCTGCGTGTGCAGGATCAGAGGGTTCTGGGGAGTATCCCAGGAGGGTGTGTACAGACATACGTGAAACTTTCCTGCGTAGTACCCGTAATTCCACCACTTTCTATCCTGCAAAAGACAGCAAGTCATCAATCAAATAAGGAATGGAATATTGGCACTGAGAACCCATGGGAGAGAGAGAGACACATGTACCTTTAATAAAATCCTTAATGCTTTGGACGTAAAAGATCTAGAAGTCAAAGTGTACAACTGTCAGGTCAAAAAATAGGTTGGTTAAAACAATCTTTTATAAATGTTGTAGATAGTCCACTAAAGATAATTTTTGGTTGGCCAATAATTTATCAATAATCAATGTGAAATCAATAATTTTGCCTTAGTGCTGTTTGAAAACGGTGCTGGCATGTAGTGCATATTCAGTAACTGTTTGTTGAACGAGTGAATAAGTGCTGCCACGCGGTCCTGTTGCATTCACAGACACTCCCTAACCGGCTGTTCCGAGCTGCGGCATTCCAGGGCTGGGGGTGCCTGAGAGCTATGGGACTTGTTTTCAGAACGGTGGGTTGCAAAGTTTGGCCCAGTAATTCAGACTTCTGAAAATAATAACATCAACAAGGAATAGCCCTACCCCAGTCTGCGACTGAGAAATCCTAGCTGAAGAAAATAAATGGAATTTTATTTTTCCTGGCTGGGTTTTCTTTATTTAGTTTCATTTTCTGGGACAAATTTGTTAGAATTTTAAACAATCATTCAGAAAGGGAAAATTGGAACACAACTTAGCTAATGATCATGTATCTTGTTCAATAGAGCATAAGACTAAATACAGAGGAGATGCAAACTATATTTAAAAATGAGATTTCGGTTCTAAAGGATTTTCTGCTCCATCAGGGGAGACAAAGCGAATGCACATGAGGTACTGTGCTGGAAATGGCACTGCCTTTAGGTTTTAAACTCTCTCAGTCCCGGCCTCCCCCCCAACCTTGCTTTCCTTTTGGTTTTGGGGTGTGGGAGAGGCAGCAATTCCGTGCTAGCCCACCCCCTTCATTTGTGCAGTGCTGCCCCGCTGGGCTCCACCGGGGGGCCTCCGGAGAGGCACATGATGTCAAGCATTTGGCCCCTGGCCCACCAGAGGTCACCGTAGAGAGGGATGGTGACTAAGAGGCAGGCATTTAGACAGGCCCATTTAATTATGCAAATTAAAGGAAGGGTATTAAAGCAATCCGTCTTGACGTAACTGCTCAAGAATTCAACAGCAGAACAAACCCTGTTTCATGCTGGCGTTGAACTTGGCCTCAGTACATCTGGGCTCCAGTGTGGGCTCTGCCACGTGTTAGCTGTGTGACTGGGCGAGTCTGGCAGGAACACAATGGCCTACTCCGAAAAAGGATAGTTTCAAGAAGGGTTTCATCTTAGAGATGCGGGCAGGGCTCAGGAGCTGACAAGGAGCCAGGCAGAGCGGGAAGCCTCGCCCACTCCCTGGCCGAAGGGGCTGGGGAAGGCAGCTGCTAACAGCAAGAGCTGCAGCTGTGGGAGAGGGGCTGCTGACCAGAGAGTGGAGGTCGGTGGCGGAACTCAGCTCCTTCCACACGCAGTGAGGCCCGGTGGACAGGCAGCCTGGGAGATCAATACTTTGACCCAGATGGGTACCGATCCTATGTGTACATCTCTCCCTGACTCCAGGCTCAGTGATGTTAGTAGCATAAGACCATGGTAGGAGTATTTACACCATGGGTTTTGGCAAAACACCACTATAAATCGGACAGTTTTTTCCCTGAAGAGCTGGTTGTTTACCATTTACCAGCACACTTTTGCCTTGACCTACGTCTCCCTGCCCTTCCAGTCCCAGTGGTTCTGCCAATTGGACGAATCCAATCAGAGCCAAAGGGTAAGGGAACAGGAGATGCGGTCTTTGCAGGCTGGATCCGGGGCACGGAACAGGGTGGGGATGGCTGGAGAAGAACCGGAAGCAGGGCCTATGGGAGGGAAGTGACCAGCGCATCTCCCAGGGTTGTGCCGACAGTCCTATGAAACAATAAATGTAAGTACTTGGTCAACACCGAAGTGCTTTTCATATGTGTCTTTCTTATTTTTGCGAAGCACTTTGCAAAGTACTTTTCTGGGGTCTACATCCTTTGTCACCACGCTGCTGAGGGGTAGACGGCACCTTCTCTTTTCCTGCCCCGGAGAGTCCAGGGAAATGCAAATTTAAGATGAGAGCGCATCTTACATGCATCTGTGACCGAGCCTTTGTTTGCGCTGGATGCTTGTCCCGTGCCTTTCACGGGGCTAGAACGGGGCTAGAACCACCAACCTAGCTGGACAGTGGCCCCACCAGGACAAAGCCTATTTCACAGCCTCTCCCACACCGAGGTGTGACCACGGAACCGGGTTCTGGCTCACAAGGTGAAGTATTGCGCAGCCCGCTGCAAGCAACCTTCCTTAGAAGGAAGCGGCGAGGGTGCTGTGGTCCAAGGGGCTGGCACTGCCCGGCGCCGCGCACTGGCACTCACCCTTCCCTGCTCCCTCCCCTTCTCCACCCTGCTGCCTGGAATGCGGATGCCACCTCTGGGGCAGGAGGAGGGCAGCCGGCAGAGAAGTGAGAGGCGGAGGGAGGCTCACCGCTGGGGGAGGGTCAGAAGAGTTACTCTTACTCTCACACGGAACTGCCAAGAGGATTGTCAGGACACAGTATTAAAAAGTGGAGAAAGGAAGGGAGAAAGAAAAAGAATGAGAAAGAAGGAGAAGAAAGAAAAGAAAGAGAAGCAGAAATCACACCCGTGAGTAGAAGAGAACACCCAGGCGCAGAGTGAACAGCCCCTCTCCCGAGCAGCCCTGCAGCCCCTGCAGCCCGGCCGGCTTGGGGGCTGGTGGACTGCGGAGCTGCGGAGTGACTCGGAAGCCGTCCCTGGCTACGTGACCCTTGTCTCCTCATTTGCAAATGCCAAAGGTTGTCATGGACAATAAGTAAGCCAGAAACACGTGAAAGTGTTTAGTGCAGCACAGCAACTGGTGTTTCATAATTACTTGTGATTGTGGCTTCCTGCGGCCTCCCGGCGGTCAGGTGGGTGCGCAGGGCGTTCCCACAGTGCGGTCGGGGCTGGGCCTGGAGGGCAGCCTGGGGCCTGGGCATGGCGAGGCCACCCACTGCACAGCGTCGCCCCTGCCTGGATTCAGCTTACTTACCTGAAAACTGAGAGGCTGGGATGGATGGTTACCATGGGGATGTTCAACTCCAGTATCATCAGTTTGAGGATTTAGGGGGCACAAAAAGTTTGCCATCATCTCAAAACTGTCTTGTCCTCTGACCCGTTTCTGGCGCCTCCTCCCCGGAGGCCTGGTTGCTCCCTGCCTCATATCTGGGTAGCAGGAGCTGCAAGGTGCCCACGGCAGGAGCTCCAGGGCTTGGAAGGCCCGTGCTCCTCCCCCACTGTGGTGGGTGGGCTCTGCTTCTATGACAACAGTGGACTTTCCTCCTGGAGACGCTGAGAATTCAAGGTCAGGAACGGGGAGAGGAGGCTCCCCATCTAGTAGAGCTCCTGAGGCAGGGGAGAGGTAAGAGGCGACCTCAGCCACCTTTAGCTTCCTGCAGAAAATGGCCAAAGGAAGGCGCTTCAACCCGCCTTTAGACAAGGACGGAAGATGGGTAAGACGGTGCCCTCTCTCACCTTTCTCAGGCCACATGGGCGTGCTCAAGGGCGCAGAGCTGAGTTCAGATCCCGCCTCTGCCCCTTACCTTGGCATGACTTGATGAATCACTTCACATAGACTCAGTTCCTTCATCTGTGAAGTGGGAATCTCATAGCACTCTGGGGAGGATTAACTGTAATCTTGTGTGTAAAACGCTCAGCACACTGGCATCTTGTGAATGTCCACTAGGCAGTAATTGCTGTACGCTCTACTTTTTCTTTTTTCCCTAACATCTATCTTCTAACATAGGTAATTTTATTACATTATGAGTGTTGTTTGTCTCCCTCTCCTGCAATACAAGCTCCACGGAAGCTGGGATGTTTGTCTTTTTAATTCACTGATTATATCAGAGAACACTGTAGCAATAATACATAGAAAAGTTAACATTTTTTGTTTCTTTAAAAGGAGAAGAAAAAGGGAAAGCACCTTAGATAATTGGGTGTGAATGCCCTAAAAAACCAACTGTACCCACCTGGGCATGACCTTGGTTAAGCAGTTTTGTCTTTCTAAATCTCAGTTTGTTAAATGGAAGCATAGTATACCAAGGTTAGAGGGCTATCAGGATGAATGAGATAAGTCATACAAAGTGCTTAGTGTAATACATGGAAACACAGTTATATATATATTCTTTCTTGTATATTTTGCTTCATTCCACAAAGATTTATGGTAATGTATGGAATATATTCACAATAAAATAATAAAGTATAAAAAAACAGAACCAACTTAAATATATCTTGGAATAGAGTCAAAGACTGGGAAAATATAGATATATAGGCCTATGACCTACAAACTGGCTATTTGGGCATCAAATTTGACTCTGAGATCCTTGGCAGCCAAAGTATAAATGGGAAATAGTGTTGTAACTGAGTGAAAAAATGGCATCTCTGCCTTCACATTGTATCAGTTACCTTTGTTGCCTTAATGTTTGGGTCAGAAAGCTTCTGCTCAGCCCTTAGCCCTGCAGGTCTGCAATATAGCCTTGTTAACCATCAAAAAGAATTTTGCTCATGACTTGAGATTGATGCAACCAGTCGTTTACTCAAAATTCACCTTCCCCTGGAGTTAAAGAAGAATGTACAAAAATGATGACTGTATTGTCAAGGACTTACAGAGATATCATGGCAGACCCATGTCAACAAAATGACTGGAGTCAACTGACCAAGGACAGTTTCACAACGGTCCTCAGACCCTTGCTGATGTCCAGACATCTGAGTCAATCATCACCTCCTGGCCTTAAACCCCTCTTGACGACCCCCTTCCTTAATATAAAAGAAGCTTGAAATCAGCTCTAAGTTAAGATGGTGCTTTAGGACATTTGACCACTATCTTCTTGGTCTGCTGGCTTTCTAAATAAAGTCGCTTTCCTTGCCCCAACGCCTTGTCTCTCGACCTAGCATGTCATGCAGCGAGTGGCACGAGCCTGGACTCAGTGGCAGTGTGAGATGCGTAACACTAATTGGTCATGAAGAGTATAAGGGCTTATATTTCTCAAGTAACAATCGATCCCTAAGTAGGCAGTTCAGGGTTGGTACAGACGCTCTGTGGAGCCAGCAGAGGCCTAGGTTCTCAGCCTACTGTCATCCTTACTGCAGGGCTGTTCAACACAGGCGTGTAAATGAGGGGAAGGTCAAAGGACAAAAATGACAGGAGGCATTTGTCAGCTAAGTCTGCCCCTTTTTATGGGGGAAATCAAAGCTTTCCCGGGAGCTCTGCCCCACAGACATCTGCCTTCATCTCATTGGGTCACATGGCCAATTTAGCTGCAAGAGAGTTTGGGGAGGTATGTTTTGACCAACAACGGCAGGGTTCTCTTGTAAGAGAGAAAGTAATAAAAAACATTTCTTCTCCCACTGTGGTCCCAGGAATGCACACAGGCTGGATTTTAGGTGGGGAGGCATTATCTCCCCAAGTCTGGCTTGAGCCCGTGGTGTGGGTTCTCTCTGCTGCCAGCACCTAATAACATCAAAAGAATAGTGTGCTGATCACGAAGTTTTCCAAAGTGACTTGGAGATGAGTTGGGAAAATTGAAGAAATCGTTGGCTTTGAGTCAGCAGCAGCCCGTTTGGGAAGACAGTAATTGCCACATTAGAGGTGACAGTCATTTTGCAGTTGACCTTGCTGGTTGTAATCTGGCTGTTGCCGGGTAGGAAAGGCTTTTTCCACATACTTTCACCTCCCTATTGAATATTTCAGCCATTGAGTGATTGAATGCAGCAAAAATGTCACCACCAACCTGTTAAAAAGCTGTATTTCACAGTTACAATATCTAACAGAAGGGTTTATTTCACAGCTATCATGTTATGGCCCTTAAATATATATATTAAAAGAGTGAAATTAAAATGCTGAAGCCATTTTTTTTATAGCAATTTAGTCCACAGACTTGCAGAATACAAATGAACTCAAGCCAGTTGTCATTTAGCTGGTGAAAGGGACCATTCCTGAGGTTAGAACAGCCCCACACCCCCAGCCTGATTTTCCATAGCTTCCCAGACAGGACAATCGACACAATCAGACTGGAGAAGGGAGAAGGGAAAGATGATGAGTCTGGAGACCCTTTGTATTAGTTATATTTACTTAAGTAATTTTTATAAGCATTTTAAAAATATAACAGAATAAATTAGAAATGCATAGGTTGACCTTGAAGAACTGCTAGGATATATTGTTAAGTGGAAAAACAAGGTGCAAAACAATATTAACGCATGGTACAATTTTTGCAAAGCAGTGTAAGTCCCCTCTGCAGATACAGGTGTTTGCGTGTAATCACATGAGCTCTCTGCTGTTAATATGTTATTGATCTGGGTGGCAGTGGGGGTGACAGGAAGGAGAAAGAGAAAGTTTGTTAAATGAAAAGGTATTTATAATGCTTAGAAAACATATTATAATACAACCTATGCATGCAAAATTATATGTATCTATGGGTCTATGATCGTATGGAGATGTGTGAAGAGTGACCATAGCATTAAGAAAGGGTGATGCAATTTCAGGGGAATTTGTTTTCCACATACATATATTTTTTTATTGTTTGCATTTTTTAAAACCGTTAGTGTGTATTATGACTCTACCCAGAAAAAAATACCATTATTTTTATTTTGGAAAAAGAAGACAATGTAATAGATGCATTTCATTAAGAAACATTTATGCGGTGGAAAATGATGGTGGCAAGAAAGCCTTCCTCCTTCCCCATTCCCTCCGTCAGGTGACCTCAGCGTTCAGGCAGGCCTGTGTGCACAGTGGCTTCCAGTGGGTGTGTGGTCGCTCCATTGGCCTTGATTCCCATTTCCACTCTCCTCACCCCATAGCAGCCATTCAAATGTGTTTAATGGGAGTTCCTTCCTTCGGATGTGTGCTTGTAAATTATGTATTGTCATTTTGTGTGCATGGATTATTTATTTACATAAATGGTGTTGGGCTATGGATCTCATTCTGTTTCTTTCCTTTTTTTCCACTCAGCACTGCATTTAGAAGACCTCTCCACGGCTGTGCGTCATCTAGCCTGTAGCTTCTCCCTGCCACGGGAGCACCCCACCAAGGACACAACATACAGCACATCATCTCCCCAGTTTCACATAAATAGTAACATACTCACCACACTCTGGTGCAGCTATTGAACCAAGCCATCTGCATACACAGCTCATCTGTGACTTGAGAGGGAAAAAGAGACCCTACCAGTGTTGGGCAATATCCTTATAAACCAGGAAGGGAGGAAGGAAAAGGGCCAGAGGGTGGCAGTGGGTTTGAGAGCAGGGAGAGGGCAGCTGAAAGCAAAATTAGACTCTGCCAGCAGTTACTGAGTGCTCCCCATGTGCGTGCAATTTCTCTTTTAATCTCATCTACCCTGTCCAGGAGGTATTATTATTCCCATTTTACAGATAAAGAAACCAGGGCTTGGAAATCCAAATCCCTTGCATAAGCCTCACCTTGTAGGAAACGGGGGTTGGACTCAGGACCTTGGAATCCAAAGCCCGTGACGCAATCACATCATGCTTTTTCCCATGTGGGAATTTTCACCAAGAACTGAGCTCTTGTTTTTTGTTTGTATTTTTGTTTCCATCAATTCTTCTAGAGATCCCACTGCAAAGCCCACTTTGTTGGGGTGGCTTTTAAGAGGTGTTATTTAAATACAATTGGGGTGAGCTACAGTGGCCATTGGGGGCTGCCCACATCCCCCTTGGGGAATGAAGGATGCCCTCTGACCCCAGCTGCTCCGAGGCGGCCCTCAGTGGATTCCTTGGCTGAAGAGCCCAGCCTCCTCCAGGCCATGCCTTCTTCCTGGGGCACCCCACACCAGTGGCTGGTCCACGACATCCAAAGCCCCATGGGGTCGGTTGAGGCCTCTGTTGGGACCACCTCCCTTCACCCAGCCCTGTTTCTGTCCCTCTTGTTCATAGGGAGATACCAAGAGCCTCCCCAAATAATCTTCATTTTCTTCATTTTTTGGCTTTGAATCCTACCCTTATTTTTCCCACCTAGACTTTCCCCACCTCCTACCATTCTACCTTCTCAGGGGAGCGTCAGCTGGGGCCCTGCATCCCTCTCCTGCTCCATGTCTTAGGGTCTACCTCAGACCTGCAGGATGCCGGCTCACCCCTGTGGCATGGGCTGGAGCCCTCGCCCCATGCATGGGGAGCTCCCTGACCCACAGGAGGATCTCAGCGAACCCATTCTGTCTTCTCCCGGTCTGTCAGCTCTCTCTCACCAGGCCCTGCCCTCCCCACCAGGCCATTGAAACATTTCCAGGCTCCAGTGAAGCTGGGGTGGCCCCCATAACTGGAGATGACCGGCAGTGATGGTCATGGGCCATTATGATATTTTTTGTCTTGGAAAGAATACTTGAAAATTACAAAAATTATGCCATTTCCATCGCATGCCAGAAGCACCCAAATTGCATTTTAATCACTTTACAGAGGAAGCTCTGATAGTTGGCTTAGAGCTTCAGATATGTCTGGTTTTAATCAAGGCATGTGTTCTTTTTCCAGTTCCCTCACATCAGACTAATGCAAAGCACGCCCGAATCTACCACCAGTGCTATGTTAAAAGAACCCCACAGTCCACATTTGTCTCAGCAAGCGGAGGGCAAGCTACCGCCGATCTACAAAGTCCGGGAGCAGGTGAGTCCAGTGCACTGGCCATGGCCGTGCACCCCTGTGGCTCTCCAGGGGGGCAGCACCACTGCCATTTCTGGCCAGACAGTTCTTCCTTGGAAGCAACGGCTCATTTTCCATCCCTGGGTCCCTAGATGCTGGTGGCATCTCTTCCTCATGCCCTAGTCACTGTGACACCTTGTTCTCTAGAAGGAACTACCTCCCAGCCTAGGCTATCAAGTTATTCAACACCTTTACGGGAAGCAGCACCCTGGTTACAGCTCACAGCTCATGACATGTCCGTTGGCCTCCCCAGCCCACTCGTGAGCAGCCTCAGCGGCGTGAAGTGGCCTGCAGGGGGAGCTGGCGTTGACGTCACCCTCAGCTAACTCACTCTGCCCGTGTGGCCAGGCCCTGGTCATCCAGGTCCTTACTGGGCAGATGAGGAAGTCGGCCTACTGGTCTCCAAGTCCTCTCCAGTGTTTGATTTTGTGAACCTATGAACTTTTCCTTTCTTCCAAAGAAAGTGTTTGGAAAGAGAATTTTCGTGATGTTCAGTAACTTGGTAAAGAAGTTGAATTTTAAAGCCTGGAGTTGACGTGCACACCTACGTACGGCCTCACTGTCCACTGCTGTCTGCCTGTCCCTGGTGACGGGTTTAATCCTCACTGAGAGCTCCCTTTGCCTCCCCATCTTCCTTCCACGTGACTGTACGTAGTTCTGCAGGCATCCTGGGGTTCTGATGTGTGCCTTTTCATTTCTTCCCCTGACTTTTCCAGCAAGCAGTAAATAACAACTTCCCCTTCTCCATGCACGACAATCGGCACTGCTTTCAGAACTCTGGCCACTACCTGGACTCTGTGAGTATTTCTCTCCAAATTACTAGTAAAGCAGGGAGTGACACCAGGGCCCTTGATTTTCTGAGGTACATGAAAGATACAGGACTTCTTCCAGAGGAAGGTCAAAATGAAAACCTCCTAACAGGTGACACAAATGCATGGAGCTCTCAAACTCCACGTGGCTGTCAAAGTCTGCATGAGCCTCCTGCCTGTGTTTCTGTGTGCTTCAGACTCTCCAAGAGCCTTTTCATAAACTGTCGCATTTGTGAGCTTTCTTACGAAAATCCGTCAAGGGAAGGGGTATTGCCTATGTGTGTCTCTGGGTGGCAGAGCCAAGACCCACAAAGAGAGGTCAAAGAGAGAGGAGCTTACCTGATATAAAGAAGGACTTCCTAATACCTGGCGCTATCTTTGCTCTAAGGTGGTGAGTTCCCCATCCTTGGAGAAAACAAAGTCGTATAGCACTTGTTTTTGGTGGTAAACACAGCGTTGTGCAATGGAAATGTATTGGGAGTATATATGTAATTTTAAGTTTTCTAGTGTCCAGATGAAGTAAAAAGAAAGAGGTGAAATTATTTTTAATAATGTATTGTATTTAACACAAGAATTCCCCAAATGATCAATTTCACATGTGATCAATATAAATATTGTTAATGAGATATTTAAATCCCCCAAGCTACATCTTTAAAATCCAGGTTGCATTTTACACTTATGATACCTCTCAATTTGGAAAACCCACATTTCAAGGGCATGTGTGACCAGGGCTATCAAACCCTACAGGGCAGGTGAACGCATCTTAGGTACAGGGTAGTATCAGGAGATCTCTGAGAACCCTTCCCAAACCTGAAAGTCCACGGTGGTGCTAATGATGAATTAATCATACTCACCATTTATTAAGCATCTGCCGCATGCTAGCACTTCATACTCTCATTAGATCCTCACACCACCACCTCTGGTTAATACTCTTGCCATGCCCAGTTTAGAGATGAGGAACCTGAGAACGCGTGAAGTCAAACAACTTGCCCAAAGTTACTCCTTCCTCGAGGCTGCAATAACTAAGCAACACTGAGGTGGTTTAACCTAAAAAAAGTTTGGTTTGCCCCAGCAGAGTGTTGAATATGAAATAGATTACCCACTTTGCCTGCCTCTCTAAATGGAAGGTTTAAAATGGTTTTCTAAATTACCAAAGTAATTTCAAATAATACAGAATTATATAAAATTTAAAAAAGGAAACATGTACTCTTATTTTCACTCCTCACAATCTCACCTTGATGATTCACTGAGAATGGCTTAATGGGTAAAATTGGAGAATTTTTGTAATTCCTATGCAAACACACACACACAAGTGTGTATCTTTTTAATGATATAAATAGGATTATACAACATATATATTCTATCAGCTATGCTAGTCTCATAGAAAGCATTGGAAGCTTTCCAGCCCTATTCTGGAATAGTTTACATAATGTGTGGATTTTTCAGCTTACTGAAAGTTAGATATTGCCTATAAAGTTATTTATGTTTGATATCTTTTTATAGTAGCTTATAAAATACCTTTTGAATTTCTCCCTAGACTGTTAATCTATTCAAACTCCTATCTCTTCTTGAGTAGGTTTTGCTGATCCATGTTTGTCTAAAATTCGTTAATGTCTATGTAACCTAATATCTATTTCTTTCTAGTCTTTTGTCCAAGCATCGTGTTTTCTTTTTTAGTTTTCATCTAGTTATGATCAAATTGGAGGCACAATTTTGACTCCATAATCATTCTCAGGCTCACATGTGAGATTCTGAGAGTTGATGAGGCAGCCTGTGGACACAGACCCGGAGGTGATGCTCCCTTCCGGGAACCCTCTGGGATGGGTGCACTGAGGGCCCCTGGGTGCAGGGAAACACCTGGGCTCCCTGGGAGTCCAGCCTTGCTAACAGGCTGTTTCTGGTTGGGGTCTCTCCAGCTCCGCCTTTGTGTCTCTAGACGTCCAGTCCCCTGGTGGGCATGGGAGGCTGTGAGAACAACAACAAAACACCACCGGCATGTTTTGAGTGTTGATTTACAGCCTTCAGCAGGTTGGAGGATACCTCCTACAAGGTGACATATTGTGCATATAAACATAGGATCATAGGATGTCATGTAGCTGGTTTTACTAAAGACCTCAGAACCGCGTGACCTTGAATATTTTTCTCCTAATCTTCTTGTAATTCTTCCCTAGGGTCTGGGACGACGGAAGATCTCCCCAGACAAAAGGCAACATGCTTCAAGAAATTTCAATCTTTGGGCATGTGACTATGTTCCATCTTGTCTTGATGGCATTTCAAATAACCAAATATCATATGTCCGTCAGGAAGGCATGGTGGGTCCAATATTCAGACGCTTTCCAAGACATTATAGTGAGATATGGAATGCTTTTAAATTTATTCCTCAGCAAAGCTATACAGAGTTTTTGAAAAAGAATTCATAAGTAAGGTTTGCTGTTGACAAAAAGGCTAGTTCTCCATTGGAGCCCTAATACTTCTGGAAGATTCTTGATGAATTTTGCAGTCTTGGTATTTTATCAAACGTTCTGAAAGTGTGTGTCTTCTGATTTGGTGCTACTTTAAATTGCATATAAGGTTTATTTAGAATTAGAGATTAAAGACTGTATATGCCTTAATGCCGAGTGAAGTTTTCTCAAAGTGATAATATAGAAATTAAAGTTTTTATATTGAGAAACTAGAAGGCAACAGATATGTTACCATTTCCCACCTTTACAGTAGTTTAATGATTTTTAATAAGGTTTAAAAACATTCAAGTCCTTATAAAATAAAGATATGTGAAGATATACACATTTTAAATGAGTATATTTTAAATGAAAATGTATTTAAGTGAATTTTAAGACTGCCACACTAACTTTTAGGGGAGTTTAAAAATCACATAATTAATACATGATTACATTTTCATTTTGAAATTTCAAACAGTATAGAGAAAGCAGGAGTCCCGCTTGATTTTACTACATCTCCAATCTTGGTCCTGTCCCCAGATGTCAGTTAACCATTTGTTTTTATTCTGTGCATTTATAATCATGTACATGTACATAACCACCTAAAATTTTTGAACATAAAGTGTGTTATACCGTACATAGCTTTCTTCTGATATTTAACAGTGTATCTTGGAATTGTTGTAGTGTCTTATGAAGGGACTGGTTCGCTTTTTAAACTCCCGCCCTGGATTCCCTAACATGGATGCACCATGTGTTTAAAAATTAGCTTCGTATTAGTGAGCATTTGAATTGTTTCTAATTTTTTGCTGTCAGATCTGGTGCCTTATGTCTGATCAACCTCTCTGGGTGCATGTTTACATGAACTGCTGGAGTAATCTCTGAAAAGTTACCTTTTTGGTAGAGCTGGGTTGGAAGGTATGCACAACTGAAGTTTTATTAAATGCTCCCACATTACTTTAGCAAATGACTGGGCCAATTAAACTACTGATGGTAT